GCCTTAATATTCATTTTGGCATGACATGAGTCAGCTGTGAGTGCCTGCATTCCTGGATTAAAAAAAAAGAAGGAAGGAAGGAAGGAAGGAAGGAAGGAAGGAAGGGAGGGAGGGAGGGAGGGAGGGAGGGAGGGAGGGAGGGAGGGAGGGAGGGAGGGAGGGAAGAGGAAAATGACTTAGAGAAAATTTTTCTGACATTTAATTCTTCATTAAAAGTCTCATTTCCAGAGCAGTTTAATCCATGCTTCATCATATACAAAAGATATAAAACATTATTTTCATAGGAATCATCCAAAGTCTTGTTGGTTTGTAGACTTTTTTTGTTGCTTTTCTTTTTTAAGTTTGCAGCCTTCACACACAAAGTAATGAATTTCTCAATTCATTCCTCCCCAGGGAAGTCTCATTTTCTCTCCTCATTGCTAACATTTTCTGCTTCCTCTTATAAAACCCAGAACTGGTAAAGAGATCCAATTTGACATGTCACGCAGGTTGTAGCAATAATATTCCCATAATGGTAACTTTTAGCTCTCATTATTGACATCTACTTTGCTTGAAAAGGACAAGCTGCATTACAAGTGTCATTCTCTTCTACTCCAAAGCCCTTTTCCTGATTTCAAATTTTCTTGGCAACCCCATAATTTCAATAAAACATCTTTATGCACATTCCTATCTAGACCTCTGTTTGCAGTGACCTCACCGCCAGTTCAAAGTCAACTTGCCCAGGATTTGATGGACCTGGTATTTTTCCTCAGACTTCATTATAATAATTGTTAAGACCTCTAGTCTACACTCGATATTCTCAACTCCTTAGAATCCTCCTTCCATAAATTCCTGCACAAGCTTGCCTGTTCTCTTCCTTTGTCCACCTAATCTCGATGCACCCTCTGTGCACTTGGAACATGTGGCAACAGGGCCAACTTTCACACACAGTGAGTGAGGCCTTAGCCACAAGCACAAAATTTGAGGGGAGCCAAAAAGCTCAGTAATCAAGATCCCAATTACATGCAAGATTTCAAAAAAAAATAATGCAAAAAAATTCATGATGAACAAAATATCAAAACTTTAGGGGTCAAATACAAGGTGGTGGAAAAACACCAGACTTTGGGTGGCGAGCACACAGTAGAGTACACAGATGACATACCAAGTTGTACACCTGAAATTTATATGTTATTAACTAATGTTATCCCAGTAAGTTTAATTTTTAAACACCATCAATTACAAGAAAGGAAAAACATCGCCAATGGTGTAAAAATTTAAATAAAGATAACCTGTTGTTTGTTTCACAACCAACCCAGACCCAAGGTATGACAGGAACCGTTTTGTCTAGTCTGCCCGCAGCCCGCAGCCCGCAGCCCGCGGTCCGCGCGCCCCCGTGTCCCGCTCCAGGCTTCTAAGTGTGGACATGGCGCCAACAGACTGAACATGGGGCTTACTTAGTCATGCTTTCTGACCATAATGCTTTTATTAACTTTTGTTCTTTGGTTCACAATACGAGAGAATATTTTTTAAGTGTATACATGGGCACATATTTTTCCTTTTGCCTGAGGATCTAATTGATGCAGCACAAACAGAACTAAGTCTTGCTAAAACCATGTTCTATAAGCAGAACTGCCCTAGATGCTTTGTCCTGCAGCATGGTGCCCGATAATGGGATAGAGTTGAAACAGTCCCAATAACAACAAAAATGATACAGACAGAATGTTTATAAATATGACAAAAGAATTTGTTGTAAATCACTCAAGCATTATTTTGGATGAGAAATGTATTTTTTCCATGCCTTTATTAAAATATAAATCCTTTTCAGTAGGGTTCTGGAGTTAGCTTTCTATTTTCTCTTCCCTAATGACTCAGCCAGTCTATTTAAGACTGTAGTCTCTGATCTGGTCCAACCCAGAAAATGCAGGCTGCCTGTGTACCTCGCCTGGGCTGGCCTGGTGCTGCTGCTGCTCCCCGCCTCCTCTCTCATCCCAGCACTGCACCCTGGGATCCTGGGTTCTCTGCCCACTGCATCTCCCCAATCAGGGCCAGCATTTTAATGTCCCTTTTATGGTTGGAAGTTTCCTTTCCTTAGTCAACCCATAGCAGTTGGAATCTAACCAGAAAAAATAAATAAATAAATAAAAACAAGAAACTACTTCAGGCATTAGGTTGCCATTTTTATAGGTTAGAACAGTTGAGCGTCAGCAGTTTTTAATGGTGCAAACTACTATTTACAAGAAAGAGGATTTAATGCAGGGAATGTGTTACTCAGGTGGAGGAGGAGTTTACAAGCCAAACAGGAAAGCGAGGACCCAGAGATTAGGAAGAGCAGGCGCTGCTGCCACCACTAGCCTAGAGAGACAAAAAAGGAAGGTGTTACCAGAATCTGGGGCTTAGCTCACTTGAAAAAACTGACAGAACTGGAGACACAGAGGAGAGAGAACTGTTGCCAGAAGAGAGACTTGAGGCACACAGGGAGGAAAAGAAATAGCCCCCATTTTTTTTCTACCCCTTCCCACCAGTGCTCACATTGGCCAAACCTAGCCAGAAACCAGACAGTGCATAGGCTTTTAAAATACAATCAGCACCCACCCCCACTTCCCTAAAACAGAGCAGAAGGAAGGGCAAGGACTGAACTTAGCCCAGGCTCAGCTCAGAGCCCATTTCATGAGGTGTCCCATCAGCAAGTAGCCATATGTCATTTGTAATAACATCATGAAACATTGCTGACCCAGCATCAACTAAGAGCTCCTGCTACCCAACCACTTCATCTTCCAATATTGTGAGAGCCACAACACACACTTCAAAACTATCCCCTTATTGTTTGCACTTAATTAAAAACAAGAAGCCCTCTCCTTATGTCTTCAGTCATTTTAAAGTTGCTACACAATTGCTTGTTTTCCTAGGAAAATATCTCCTTGTGTACCCAAATCTATCAGTCTCAATAAAGTAATAAACAGCATAATCACCTGGGAGAGTTCCCATTTAGTGCTGACATCTTCTTGATAGAGTTATCTATTTTAGTTGCCCTTGAATTGAAGCAATCCCCCTATTTTTTTATATTAACTCCTACCATAATCTTGTTTTCCTCTGTCCTAGGGATACTCTCTAGATGATAGACAGATAAGTGGATGGAGGGATGAGTGACTGAGTGATGGAAGATGGATGGATATTAATGATAATGATGATGTCCTGGATTTTAAATATGGGGACATTCCCAGTCTTTCTTTTGTTGGTTGATGCAGGGTCATAGATGCAAAATGTGAACCTCATATGTGTAACACTTTATCTTCTCACCATGGTTAAAATGTTAAATTAAAAGTGAAAAAGATGATTTGCTTAAAAAATAGCAATGGTTCAGACATTCTTCATGGGAGGTAAGGAGAGTTTGAACACATTTTCTTTTCAGATAGAAAACAATAAACTCTTGCCTAAAGTATTCAGATTTTCTTCTTGATGTAAACATTCCCTATGCATTCAGCTTTTGTAAGATGTATTAAATCTCCCTCCCCCCACCTACAATGTCCTATGGAGTTGAATTTTTAATGACTTAATGTTAACATATAATTATGCACAATTTATTCAAATACAGTTCATTACGCTTAAGAAATCTTGCAAATTCTTCAGAATGTTATGTAAAATTAAAGCAAATGAAATATCATATTTTAGGTAAAATTGTCAACACCAAGAACTTGAAATTAACCATGAGTCTAAAGTACTAAAGGCAGTTCAGGTGCTTTTTGCAGATCTTCTGGGAATGAGTACTGCTTAGAAATTTGAGTTTGAAATATTTCCAACTGAAACTATTAAAGTATCCTCAAAAAAGTTCATGCTTCTAAACTATCTTTTAAAAACAGAAATTTATAATCAGTCTCTTGCATTCTTTCCTTCTTTGCACATTCTCTCTGATAGTGATAGAATATGATATACTCAAGGAGTATCCTCAAATTATGTATTTTCAGAACCAATTCTTAGCATGCTTTGAGGTAGGGAGTGGTTGTTTTTAAGTGGATGAGGTACAAATATCTCTTGCAACCATAACTTGACAAAAACTACTAAAAGCTATCATACTGGTTCCCTTCCTACATGGGATTTATATTCCATTAAAAAGTAAGCAGAGCAAGATGTTTACCAGCTTGAGGTGACAACATCCTGGAAAATTCAAATATTCATTTTAACATGTATTTGCTTTTTTAACAAGTTCTTTAGATACACAGCAGAAAATGTCATTTTTTTTCCAAAATGACATTCATTGATATAAAAGGCATTTTAAATGTCAAATGGAAGAACGTTTCAAAAGGAACTTCAATGTGCCCACATTATGGATTTCTTACTCTTCAGAGTTCAAAGCTACTGCCTAAAGTTGAATTTCCTTGGCTTTCATTAAATTGACTTTTTAAATTAATTTTAAAGAAGAGTTCCTGGACTTCTGGTCTAGAGGGAAGTGCAGGTAGACATGCTTCACCTCCTTGTGCAACCACAGAGAGAATTACAGCTATTTCTCAAAACAAGTAACAACCAGAACCATCAAAAAATCGAGTTGTACAGAAGTCCAACAACCAAGGATTTAAAGAAGCCACATTAATCCAGATGCATAAGAGGGGCAGAGTCATGGAGACAGGTGGAGAAGTGTGGAGATGAGGCATGGCACAGAGAGACAGCAGCGTCAGAAAGGGTAGTCCCACATCCATGTGGGGTAGATAAAAATTAGGAGAGATACCTTGGGAGCGAGCCATCCTAGTCCCAGGATAGACCACACAGCCCAGGGTTCCAGCTCCAGGAAGATAAATCCCCATAACTTCTGGCTGTAAAAACTAGTGGGGGGTTCGGGTGGCAGAAGAAACTGCCAGACTTTCAGGAGACTTCATTTAAAGGTCCTGCATGGCCTTGGAATGTATGCAAACCTATGCCCTCTGGGATTCACCACCAGGGCACACAGCTGGAAGGGCACCAGTTGCATATGAGAAGTGGGTGAAGTGACCAGAAACAGGGAAAGTGCTGGGCAAACCTCTAGAAGCCAGACAGCAGCATTATCCCTCCCTCCATACAGAGCCACATACCAATGAAACAGAGTGCCCTACCCTGGCAATTACCTAAGGCTCCACCCCACACAACTTACAAGTGCCTTTTACAGGGAATCAAGGCAGCCCTACCTAAAACACAGAAATAAACACAGGGAGTCTACCAAATGGAAGAGACAAAGAAATATGGCCCAAATGAAGAACAGAACAGAACCCCCAAAAAAAGGGAATGGAGAGATAACCAACCTATAAGATGCAGAGTTCAAAACTCTGGTGATCAGGATGCTCAAAGAACTAGTTCAGAACAGCAGAAACGTAAGGGAAGAAATGAAGGTTACACTAAGTGGAATAAAGAAAAATCTATGCCCTGGCTGGCATAGCTCAGTGGATTGAGTGCAGGCTGCGAACCAAAGTATCACAGGTTCGATTCACATGCCTGGGTTGCAGGCACAGCCCCCAACAACCGCACATTGATGTTTCTTTCTCTCTCTCTCTCTCTCTCTCTCTCTCTCTCTCTCTCTCTCTCTCTCTCTCTCTCCCTCCCTTCCCTCTCTAAAAATAAATAAATAAAATCTTAAAAAAAAAGAAAAAGAAAAAATCTACAGGGAACCAACAGTGGGGAGGAGGAAGCCAAGAATCAAATCAATGATTTAGAACACAAGGAAGGAAAAAGCATTCAATCAGAACAGCTGGAAGAAAAAAGAATTTTTTAAAAAACCCACAAGTATAGGCTTAGGAACCTCTAGGACAACTTTAAAAATACCAACATCCAAATCACAGAGGTGCTAGAAGGAGAAGAGGAAGGGCAAAAATTGAAAACTGATTTGAAAAAAATAATGAAAGAAAACTTCCCTAGTTTGGTGAAGGAAATAGACAAACAGTTCTAGGAACCACAGAGAGTCCCAAACAAGTTGGACTCAAAGAGGGCAACGCCAAGACACATCATAATTAAAATGCCAAAGGTTAAAGATAAAGAGAGATTCTTAAAAGCAACAAGAGAAAAGGAGAGAGTTATCTACAGAGGGGTTCTCATAAGACTCTCAGCTGAGAGTCTTGTTTCTCAAAAGAAACTTTGCAGGCAAGGAGGGACTGGCAAGATGTATTCAAAGTGATGAAAAGCAAGGGCCTACATCCAAGATTACTCTATCCAGCAAAGCTATCATTTAGAATGAAAGGACGGAAAAAGTGCTTCCCAGATAAAGTCAAGCTAAAGGAGTTCATCATCACCAAGCTATTATTACATAAAATGTTCAAAGGACTTATTTAAGAAAAAGAAGGAGATCAAAACTATGAATGTTAAAATGAAAACAAACTCACAACTCTCAACAACTGAATCTAAATAAATAAAAACAAATTAAGCAGACAACCAGGACAGGAACAAAATCATAGATATGGAGATCATTTGGAGGGTTATCATCTGGGAGGGAAGAAGGGGAGAAGGCGGGGGAAAGGTACAGGGAATCAGAAACATAATTTGTGGGTACAAAATAGACAGGGAGGTGTCAAGAATAGTGTAGGAAATGGAGAAGCCATAGAACTTATATGCATGAACCATGGACATGAACTGGGTGGTGGGGGGCATTGCTGGAGGGAAGGTGGGTACTAAGTGGAAGGAAGCAAAAGGGGAAAATTGGGACAACTGTAATAGCATAATCAATAAAATATATTTTTTAAATAAAAGTTCCTTTTTCAACAGATTTTGGTATTAAACATAAATGTTCACATAGCTCTTCTTGACCTAAGTCTTTACCAGCACACTATAAAAAATTGGCACCTGTGGGTAAAGTAGGAACTGGGAGGACTGAGGGCAAAAGAACACGTTGTTTTGCATCCTCATCAGAGGCAGATTTAGGCTCGGCCACATCACTGTGCTTCAGTCACTGTGTATTTTCCCATAACAAACTGTAGAACCTATCCTCTACCAGTGTTCTTAGACCTTTCCATGAATCAGTATCCCTGGAGGGCTTGTTAAAGCACAGATAGCTGGGCCCTTGCCCCTCGGGTGGGACAAATTTACGTTTCTAACCAATCCCAGGGGACTCTAATGCTGCTGGGGGGCCTCCATGCACTTAGAAAACCACTGCTCTGCAGTAGTAAGATGCAACTATAACTTACATTTGGGCTTTAACATTTTCAAATTTCTTTCATGCCTTTTTATTTAATTAACTTATTTCCACACCATGCCAAAGATGCACAGGATAAGTATTATCTCTCCATTTTCCAGATTGTAAATGAGAAACACCGAGGCTCCTCCCCCTGTATTCCCTGTCACAAACGAAGACAACCATCATCAATGGAAGTGTCCCCAAGCTGAAAAAAAACTATGTCACCCAAGACCCTTTCCACTCATGCCACTCACATCCAGCCATTGTCCAGGTCATGCCGATTTTACTCCCTATCTTATGGGTGTCTTGCTCTCTTCCACTTTTGTGCCTTTGCATACAGGGTGGGGCAAAATTAGGTTTACAGTTGTTCATCTGGAAAATAATACAACTACTAATAAATAATAATACAAGAATAAACTCTGTGTTTCACACACTTGCAACTCAAAACCTACTTTTTCCCCACCCTGTATATTTTCTTTTACTGGTAACCTTGCTACTAATGTTTAAAATTCTCTGGGAAAATGTTTCACAAGGTTTGATATATAATATAAAATCAGGATGAGTTAACCTTTTAAACATATCTAACATATTTTGTTTCCCTTTTAGTTTCATGGAGCCTGATTTCTCCTTAAAATTTGATCTTTTTGTGGTACATTTTTGAAAAAAGTTTTCCATTCCAGAAGTGTGTGATTGTGTCTGAAACTCGCTTTCTTGAAACACGTGAGGCATAGTTTGCGAGACCTCCTCTTCCGGTTGGAACCTGGGTAGCTGAGCTAGCAACGTGGTGTGGAATCAGATTTCCATTTCCGATTCCACACAAGTACCTTGACCCATCAGTCTTTCAATTTAAACTTGGTTCATTCATTTCAGCACTAGCCTCCTTGAGACCCGAGGTTTAAACAGGGTGAACTAACTGCTCTTCAGAGAAAAAGTTTATCACTAATAAACACAACTGCTCTGCCATTGTGAGATTTTATGAAAAATACAAACGGACTCACAACTGTTAAAATGTACTTGATGTAATTTTCTTTTACTCAAAATTTCTACAGTCTGTTTTCATTGTAAAAAGGTTTATCTGGACTCCTTGCTTAGAGATTGGTCACACGTCAGTCCCTGGACTCTCTCTAAGTGAAGTGGACAGGGGTGTCCTTATCAGCAGGCCTGCAGTCCCAGCACTTGGAGACAGTTAGATCACCTGGAAATTAGGATTTAAGAGTTTAGAGATTCACTCCTGAAAAGTACAAAGCTGACCTTTTTGTTTTATATCATGTTAGTAAACCCGTGCACCCCTGATTGGCAGGGCCATGATTCTGTGCTCCAAGCAGATGTGGTTCAGAAAGGCTGCACAGCACCCCTTTCCAGGATGTTTCCACCCCTCACTTCTTTGCCTCCCAACTCCTTACAACGTATGTTAGATGCAGCACCTTGCTAAGCTACCTGTTGTTCTTTGAGACCATGGGTATATTGCCGCATTAAGTATCCAGCCTTATTAAGTACTTAATCACTGACACTATGTTAAGAGTTTATTAATCTTTCTATGGCTTAGTTTCTTTGTCGGCATAATGGAGGTGCTCAGTAATTAGGAGGTGACCTCATAATTTGGATGTGATCATTAGGTATGATAACATACATGTAAGGTACTCAATGAATTGGAGTGATTGCCATATTTTCAACTACTTATTAGCACCAGGAAATGTGTTTATCTTGTTCATCACTATTGCCCCAGTGCCTTACAAGTAGCTGACAGACAGTAGATATTTGGTAATTTTGTTGAATGAATGTGAGCATGTGCACATGAATGAATGCATGAAGCCCTGGCAAAGAGGAAAATATTAACAACCTTTGTGAGGGGTTTTTTTGTGTGGAAATAAAATGGATATGTATAGAAATGTATAGAAAATTGAGTTTTAGTGCTGAGCCTGTCATAAGTTAGTTTTGGGAAGGACTATTAACTTTTATCGGCCTCAGATTCCATCTGGAGATGGAGTACAGTGCCTACCCTGCTTTTCTCGGAGGACTGTTAATAGACATATGTATATAAAATTTTTAAAAGAGCATAGGGGAAAGAAAGCAATAACAAAATGGGCCAGCCATGAAAGTGTGTACTGGGACTCCTTAAAAGTGAGGTTGGAGAAAGCAAATAATAAATAAAAAACGCATAATCTTGAAGGCCAAGACTCCCCGGCGCAGCAGAGGAGCAGCACCGCGTACGAATGTGGCAGGTCAGGAGCGGCGGTGCAGACCCGGCAACACGAAGGCTGAGGGGGGACAACCAAGACCACAGGCAAAGGAGGGCTTGTGTTGCTGAGTATTGAAGTGACTGATGTTGAATCCTTAGTGGGAAAAGTTTTGGTTTGGCATGGGGAATAAGTTACAGATTTGTGTGCACTGTAATTACCTTTTATAACACTTATTAAAACCTTTGAGAGTCATTTTGGTTAAAACATATGGAAACACTTTGCAAGGTATAAAATGTCAGTTAGGAATAAAAGTACTTGGTATTTTTTAGCTAAGCCATCACAATTAGTGAATGCACCATAAAGTCACTCAAAACTTTGAGATTTGGAGGAGTAAGAGTCCCTTCTTGAAAAGACTCTCTAAGTCTTCCCACCAAAAAAACTAAGAACACTACTGGCTAGAGAGGAAATCATAACATACCACAGGTTGTTATTAGCTTCATTAGGTCTCTAGTCCACCTCGAATTCCTTACAGACTGAAGTAAGGTTTTAATAAATAAAATTTATGCTTATGTCTTTGGCAATAATCTTCATTAACCAATTTCCAAACAATTAGAAGAACTTTAAAAAGAGATTGATTAAGTCTACTTATAATCTTCTCTTTCAGATAGTTGGCTCTTTCTATTGCAGTTTAAACTAAAGGAATATTATACAACATTATTAATATACAGGCATTCTATCCATTACTT